ACAATATTCATTCAAACATATTTATAAATGTAAGACATGTATATCAGATAATGATGCATGCCTTGTACAGCATTAAAATTTGGTGATATGATGGTGTCTGTTTTAGACTGGATGGCCAGAGAAGGCATCTGATGAGGGAACATTTAAGCAGAGATGTGACTAACGAGCCAGCGTAGACCAAGATCATTTCAGACAGAGTGCAATGGCCTTAAGGTAGGAATTAGCTTTGCATTTTGAAGGAATAGAAGGAAGGCCTATGTGGTGGTTGGAGGATATTTGTATGAGACGGAGTTGAAAGGGAGGCAAGGGCTAATTGCATAAAATATTACAGGCCATAATTAGAAGTTTGGACTTGGCTCAAAGCTTGAAGGGAAACTCCTAGAAGATTTTAAGCAAGAGAGAAACAAAGTCTGGTTTGTTTTTGGAAAATTGATTGTAAGGGTGTCAGGAGTGCAGTGAGACCAGATGAGAAATGATAGTGGCTTAGATAAGGGTGGCAATAAGGAAATACATGATTGGGATATAGTTAGGAAATCAGTAGGTCCTACTAATGGTTAGTGTGTCAGGAGCTAGAGAATACTGGCTGGAAGGAAATAGGATTTACTGAAATGAAGAAGGCTTGGGAGAAGGGGGAGATCAAGAGTTCTGTTTTTTGGTGTGGTGGTGTTGTTGTTTTGGGGTTTTGTTTTGTTTTTTTTTTTTTTGAGGCAGAGTCTCACTCTATCACCCAGGCTGGAATGCAGTGGCAGGATCTCGGCTCACTGCAACCTCCGCCTCCCAGGTTCAGGTGATTCTCCAACCTCAGCCTTCCTAGTAGCAGGGACTACAGGTGTATGCCACCATGCCCAGTTAATTTTTGTATTTTTAGTAGAGATGGGGTTTTACCATGTTGACCATGTTGGTCTTGAACTTCTGACAGCAAGTGAACCACCCCCTTGGGCCTCCCAGAGTGCTGGGATTATAGGCTTGTGCCACCACACCAGCCAAGAGTTCTCTTTCGGACTATAAATTTGAACTGTCTTGGCAACTGTGGAGTGAGCAAGTAGTCATTTGGTTACTCAGCTAATTCCAGGCACAGCTGTAGATAGATATAAGGTAGTTTATAGCACGTAGCTGCTGCCTAAAGCCAGGGCATTTGATATGAGAAAAGAAAGGGGCCTTCAGCAGGGATGTGGGACGAGGTGATACAGCATTGAAGTTGTACAAAGGAAGAGCTAGAGTTGACCATGAAGGGCTGCAAGGGGTTAGTTATGTTGATGGCTGCTATGAGGTCAAGTAGTCGTAGAATGCAGTTTTCTATTAATTATTTTTTCATTCCGTATTGTTAAATGTTTGTGTTTATTCACTTTCAAAATATTATCAACGCTTCTTCAATGATTTAACCTAATCTGTTCACTTGTTTCTTTAGAAACAATTTTTAGACAAAGTTTTTAGTTCAAAGGTCATGAACATTTTTAAAGCTTTGAGACATGCTAACATGTCTTTCAGAGAAACTAACCAATTTATATTCCCATCGACATTGAAAGTATCAGAATGGTAAGCAGTACTATTAATTTTATTTAATAAACTTGATCAGAGTAGATGGAGACATATGCAAGAAATGGAATAAGAAGACAGGACTTCTTTTTGAGATGGCATTCTTTAGATTCTAATTTAAAATGGAAATTGTAACAATTTGAAGTGAAAGTAATTGTTTTCTTTTCATCCTGACATGATAAACTACAAAATACATTGTCACTGGGCTAATTTTTTAAAATCTACTTGTACTTTAATTTCTTTGTAAGACACGTTCCACAGAGTATTGCTTCCATGCGCTTGTATTTCTTCCCTTGGCAGAAGTAATTGCTTTTTTTGGAATGTTTTGATAGAAGAGAGATCTTTGAGAAAGCACCTGTAGAAACTTCTTTCTCTGAAGATATGGCAGAGTATCTGACTTCACAGCTGAGAGGAGAGTCATCTGTGTCCAGATTATTCTGTGTAAAAGCAGAAACACTTAGCCTTGTTCTAGGCCATTGCAACAGTTGTTAAATGGTCCTACTGTTGTTTTGCTGCTTCTTCTAACCTTTCAACTCTCCTACTAGAGTTGTTAGCACTTTTAAGGCCTTGGCATTTGCTAATACCTCTGCCTGGAATGCTCTTCCTTCAGATACCTACCTGCATGGCTTGTTCTCTTGATCCCCTCAAGTGTTTGGTCAAATGTTAACTTTTGGTGAGTAAACCTCTTCTTTATTCTTTACCTGCTTTCCTTTATCTCCGTAGTGCTTGCACAGCACCTTTAACCTATTTAATATTTGCCTCTTCATGCTAAAATATAAGATCCATGATGTCTGAGATATTTTCTTTTGATCACTGTCCAAAAATAGTACCTGCATATTGTAGGCACTCAGTAAACATTAATGAATTAATAAATGACTGGACTCTTCAAACCTCAACTGTGGTTGAGCTCTTTAGACTGTGTAAGTGTGACAACAACTGGCCCATAGGATAAAGACCAGATTCGGTATCATTCACAAAACCATTTACAGCTTGGTCTGGCCTCTTAAACTTTGTATTCTACTTGACACTGTTGAAAAAGGCACATCACTCCCATTGTGTCCTTTGCCTAGAATGACCTTCTTCCCTTTCCTGTCAGTTTCTCCCGTTTTTCAGGAGAAAACTTTTATGGTGAATTGTACAATAAATGTTTGTAAACATGTCTTTTAAAAATTAAATTAGGTATATTTTTAGTAATATTTATTTGGTATGTACAGTTACTCTATAAGGATTTTTTAAAAAACCTAAATGGTTTATCTTTATGCTTAGGGAGTACAGCGTTCATTTAGGAAATTGACTATTGTTACCATTTTGTTTCTGAATTGATGAAAAAATTATGTAAGTTACATACTGTCTGCTCAGAAACCATTATACAATAAAATATTTAATACTTGAATGAAATAGAAATCACCTTGAGTTTGTGAAATGTTTAAAAAGTCAGGAATTTAAAAGAATTATTTTTTTAAAAGTGATCTTTCTTAAATGTCTAAGATATTAGGAAATATTATTGATATTTTAGCTGGCTGAAGTGGCTACTCGCATATTTAATAGGTTTTCCACTTGACCTTTGAAAACAGGTACTAGCATATCTAGAGTTACCTAATTACCTGGTCTCCTTCCTTAAAATCTAAATTGTTCCTCCTTACTTTACCTGTATAGCCCTGATTTAAGTGAATTCATTTCATGAGGAAATGAAATAATAAATAATTGAGCATTTCAAAAGGTTTCAGAGACCAACAGACTGAGTAGAATTAATAATCTGATTTTAACTAATTATGATGTCTCATTTCACTTCAGATCTTGACTTTTTTTGTAGGACTGTAGAACATTTTTGGTGATTATACCCAGTCAGCAATACCCAGTCACCTAAGTTAGATTTCTTGACTTTCTTGTTGCCATCAGTAGTGAGTCAAAAATTGATTCTTCTACTTAGAGCCATCAATTTTTATTTCTTCTTTCCAGTAGCATATTTATTAATTCATATCCTTACCGCTTGTCTAGACGGCCTGTCCTATTAGGCATGAAGTGCATTTTTATTAAGCAGTATCCTACCCAAACCCCTTAGTCTTCAAGAGGCTTCACCACTGGATCTGGTGTGCTTTCCCACTCTTGCCACTCTCCATCCGGGTACACACCCTTCAAATTAATCAGCATTTCCTATATCTACTGTTACTTTTTCACATATTAGCCCTTTGTACAAGTTGTCTCATCTAGCCAAAATATAAAATACTTTCACTCTTTTCTGCCTGGCTGAAATATTACTTCTTCAGAAATATTTGTTGTTGCCTCTAATGTGCTCCCACAGCTCCTTAGGGCACCTAGTGTGTGCTTTTTAAAAATATTTATTTATTCAGCAAGTAATGTCTCCTGCAAGCTAGCCACTGTATTTGGTGATAAGAATCTCTGCAGTTAAAAACATATTATCTTCTAGACAGCACAGAGCTTATAGTGATTATTTATGTACATATCTGATTCCTGCACTAGTATTTGACTCTCTGAAGACAGGGACAGTTTTGTTTTGTTAATCACCTGTCTTGATACATACGTTATTTTAAATGAGCTTAGGTCTGAGAAGGGACTTTGAACATCATCTAATTTGCTTATCTTATTTTATAGATTTGTATAGTGGGGAAAAAAACTGAACTGAGAAAAGGTTATAGGATTTGCTTAAATGAATTTAGTAGAAGAAGAGGGATTAGAACCTTGAGATTCCTTGATATCCATAATTTATAGACTCAACCTCAGAAAGTTAACCATGACTCAGATTATTTTGTAGCTCACACAAACTTCTTAAGGAAGTTTAAGAAGAGACACTTGCCTGAATTGGTTAAGAAAGTTAGGGGGTGATGTTGACCCTGAACACATGTCAGAATGTCTAAAGATATTTGTAGCTGTCAAAGTGGTATAGAGAGGAAGTGTTACTGGCATCTAGTGGGAAGAGGCCAGGATGGTACTAAATATCCTACAATGTACAGGGTATCAATAATGCCAAGGTTGAGAAACCCTGAGTTAGAAAATAATAGGGAATCGGGCAGAAGGTGAGTATGCTTGTTAAGAGTATTTGAAATTAACTGAACTGAAAACAGAAAGAATGGCAAAATGGAAACTGTAGCAGGGATAGTTCTCCTTAAGGTACAGAAAGGAAGTGGTGAAAAGTACCGGATCAGCCAGTTCTTTTACTGGTCATCATCTGCTTTCATGGGTCAAAATTGCCAAACCTCTCAATGTGTATGAATGAAGTAAGAGTTCAGCTTTTCTTATGAATGGATATTTCTAAACAGATAGCTGAAAATTGAGGAACATTTATGTAAGACAAGTAAAAATTAACATTTTATATTATATGGATTGAAAATTGAGGAACATTTATGTAAGACAAGTAAAAATTAACATTTTATATTATATGGATTGATTTCTTTTTTATAAACAATAGGTAAGTTTATATTCTAACCAACTAGGATTTTTCTCAGGAGCACATGGATGAAGTATGCTCCTCACAGCTTCTAACTTCAGTAAGGCGCATGGTTTTGACCCTTACCCAGCAAAATGATGAGAGCAAAGAGTTTGTAAAATTCTTTCATAAACAGCTTGGAAGTATATTACAGGTAAGAGTTTTTACTTGTATGATTTACCAATATGTAGTATGCAGTAAGGTTTTTTTGTGGGGGGCACATTTCCTTGCATTACACAATTTATTCAGGTGGACATCCAATTAGAATCCACTTGGGATGATGTAATACTTCTCTAGGTTGTCACTTGGTTTAAAAAAATACTGTGTCATTGTTAGGTCCTGTTTGTATCTTCATTTAATTTGGTCATCTCTAAGGCATGTCTCTTATAAGCTTTTACTGGTTTGGTTTTTCTTCTCTTTAGTGAAAACATTTTTAGTTTGAAATGTTTAGAAAGTATTCTGTGACTTTTTCTAAAATAATTAACTAAAGTAATTTGACTCATCTGGGAAATTTCAGAAGCCAAAAACCAGGTGATTGTAGAGACTTTTTAGGCTGTATCTGTACCCTAAAATTATAGTAAGTCAGTGGTTCTCAACTAGGGGAGAATTTGCTGGGAGACATTTAGCAATGTCTGTAGATACTTTATCACAGCAGGTAGTGTAGAGAAGATAGGGAGGGCTGAGAGGACAGGTACTAGCAACTAATGGGTAGAGAATAGGAATCTTGACAAACATTTGACAATACACAGGATAGTTACACAGACAGCAAATAATTATCTGGCCTTAAATGTCAGTAGTGCCAAGGTTGAGAAATCCCATGTTAAGTGTTAATAAAATTACCTTGTTTCCTTCATGTAACATCTTTACCTTTTATTTAACTGAATATTTTCCCATTGAGATAGTTCATTGATGTGTAATTTTACTCCAAATTAAGTCATACATTTTTTTCATCTTTATTACAAAATTTTCTTATGAAATGTTAATCTTTTTTAAACCTTGGGCTTGGTGCAAATTTGTATCACTATAATTTTCCATTTTCTTAGTATTAAAACTAAAGTATAAATTGTCCTGGCCCTGTTAGTACTAATTACTAATCAGTACTAATACATAATTTATAAGGACTGTAAGATACTGATGGTGTTGTGCACTGTAGGAATCCAGCTCCATTTTAAAATAAGGCTAAAAGAAATTATAATTTAAATATATTTTATCAAGATCCATGTAGCCCTTCCTCAGTTTTGCCTACTATGATAATTATGGGCAGAACCCAAAGCATTAATTTGGAAATACGATTTTTTTCTCAGTCTCACGTGTGACTGTTTTTCTTTCATTTCATTCTTGATTTTTTTCACAAGACGACATACATGAAGAATAAAAGTTAATTTACATTAAATATTGCCCAGAGTCTTGAAAAATTTTTTTATGAGCTAGAGCTTAAAGTACCATCTTCTACATTTTTCCTTCTGAAGCCTGTTCAAGAATTTTTTTCCCACAAAGCACCCAGCATATCTTGTATGTTTTACCATAATTGTACTAGATAAGGTAGTGTTTTGGTAGGGGAAAGAGGCAGGCGTTCAGTGTCATAGTAGTTTGTCTTTTTAGGCTGTATCTGTAAAGGCAATAGTAAATTGAAATTTACTGTCATCTTTAACTTAAAATATTGCCTGTTCTGTAAATAGCATAGTCCTTATTTTTAGAAAGAAAAAGGAGTGGTTTTATGAAAAATGTATAGCATATATTTATTTGATGATTCTCAACCCCAAACAATCAAAAGGGTCAGAATCTAGTTTAAAGAGAGCTTATTCAAGCAACCAGTTTGAGGACAGCTGCCTGTGAAGCACAGATTCCAAAGAACAGACATCAGAAGTTTGGGATCATTGGTATCAGGGATCCCCAACCTCCAGGCTGGTGAGTGGCAGGTGAATGAGCAAAGCTTCCCCCATCGCTCTCATTACCGACTGAGCACCACCTCCTGTCAGATCAGCAGCAGCATTAGATTTTCATAGGAGTTTGAACCCTACTGTAAATTGTACATGTAATGTACCTACGTTACGTGCTCCTTATGAGAATCTAATTCCTGACCTGTTACTGTGTCCCATCACCCCCAGATGAGACCATCTAGTTGCAGGAAAATAAGCTCAGGGTTCCCACTGATTCTACATTATGGTGAGTTGTATAATTATTTCGTTATATGTTACAGTGTAATAAAGGGCACAATCAATGTAATGTGCTTGAGTCATCTTGAAACCTTCCCCCAACCTCTAGTTGGTGGAAAAATGGTATTCCATAAAACCAGGTCCTGGTACCAGAAAGGTTAGGGACTGCTGGTTTATGTGGACAGAGTTTTAGCATCTTTCTATATAAGGCTTAATGCATTGTTACAGCAGTCTAGTTGAGATGATATTTTCCTTTCAGAAAAGGTCAAAGATTTAATAGTCCTCGAGTCTTTTCTGCCTTTTGATCTGACTTAATCTGACTTAGGTACAGGACAATAAAGGAGGCGGCAGTTAATCTGTATCAAAGATCAGTGTTGTTTTTTTTTTTTGGAGACGGAGTTTCGCTCATTGCCCAGGGTGAAGTGGAATGGCACGATCTTGGCTCACCACAACTTTCCGCATCCCGGATTCAAGGGATTCTCCTGCCTCAGCCTCCCTAGTAGCTAAGATTACAGGCACCTGCCACCATGCCCGGCTAATTTTTTGATAATCTGATTTTTTTAGTAGAGATGGGGTTTCACCATGTTGGCCAGGCTGGTCTCAAACTCCGGACCTCTGGTGATTCACCCACCTCAACCTCCCAAAGGCTTACAGGCGTGAGCTACCGCACCCAGCCGAAATCCTGTTTTCTTTTACATGATTCTGTATATCAACTTGAATAGAATTGAAGTTTACTTTTGAAGAAAAATTTAAATTAGAATGGTTGGCTCAAGTAAAGGAGGAAGCTTTAAAATTAGTATTTTAATGGTACCATTTAGAGGTAAAAGACTTTGTATTTTCCTCTCATAGCACTTATAATTTATTACTGTAGATCTCCTATACTGTTAAGGAGCTTTTTGGAATTAGGAATTCCTGTCTGAATTCATTTGTGCCCAGCAGTTATATTAAATAGCGACTAAATATGGATGACCATATATATTCTTTTCCTCCCCTTGAATATATTCTTTAAGCAGGAATAGCAATATTCCTACTTTGTAATATAGCGATATTCTTTAGTACTATTAACCTATCTTAGTAATCATAATCATTAGTTCTGAGTTTTTCAGTACTTGAAAGTATATTGTTCTACAATTGAAATTTACTATAATCTTTAATTTAAATAGGATTCACTGGCAAAATTTTCTGGCAGAAAACTGAAAGACTGTGGAGAAGATCTTCTTGTAGAGATATCTGAAGTGTTATTCAATGAATTGGCTTTCTTTAAGCTTATGCAAGATTTGGATAATAATAGTGTAACTGTTAAACAGAGATGCAAAAGGAAAATAGAAGCAGCTGGAGTGATACAGTCTTATGCCAAAGAGGTAAATAACATTTATTGTGATTTTAGGCTAAATGGCTCATAAATATACTTCTTAATCATTACTAAGAACTAAAATCGTATTTTACCTCAGCAAAAGTAGTTTTTAGTAATATCAGTTAATCACATTATAAGCCATTATATATGCTAACCATATGTGGAATCTGAGGAGTAACAGCACTTACTAAAGATCAGGAGGCCGGGTGCGGTGGCTCATGCCTGTAATCCCAGCACTTTGAGAGGCCATGGCGGGTGGATCACGAGGTCAAGAGATCGAGACCATCCTGGTCAACATGGCGAAACCCCATCTCTACTAAAAATACGAAAAATTAGCTGGACATGGTGGCGCGTGCCTGTAATCCCAGGTACTTAGGAGGCTGAGGCAGGAGAATTGCGTGAACCCAGGAGGCGGAGATTGCAGTGAGCCGAGATCACGCCATTGCACTCCAGCCTGGGTAACGAGTGAAACTCCATCTCAAAAAAAAGATCAGGAGTAATACAGACAGGAATTGATGTTAAATGTACATTGTCATATAACCAGTTCACATTATCATCCCGTATTGAGGTCTCCAAAGAAGGAGGGCTGGGATCTGGTCCTGGGCCAGCTGCCTGCCATGGCTGTCAACAATCCCTATAGATTCTCTGAGAATATGCATTACCCAGAGGTCACTCTCGGTCAACACAAATGCTTATTAGTCAGGGCTTTGGGTTTTACATCCGTGTAGTTTCTTCTACCTTGTCAAATTAGTTTTGGTCACATTTGAGATTGGATGACTGTTCTGCGTCGACTTGAGGCATACCAGGAAGCTTTTTCCTAGATGTATACCCATTTCCTGATCCTCTTTTATGAGAAGGAAACAAGCCAAGACCCCAAACAGAAAGAGATGGACTTTGTTTCTTATAATCTAAAGTAGACAAAGTCAGGCTATCTTTTTCATGATGCTTATTTTCTATATATAAATAAATTTCAGACATTTCAGCCATTGCTAAGAGCTTGAAGAAAATAAAACAGCATGATATTATAATAAATGAATGGAAAGTAATATAGTCCAGTTTCAAGTCTAGAGAATTGCTGAATATCTAAGCATATTGCTAAATTCTGTGTAATTGATTTGTTTTAAAGGCAAAAAGGATTCTTGAAGATCATGGCTCACCTGCCGGAGAGATTGATGACGAAGACAAAGTATGTGCTAATTAATTTTTGCCTAAAAATATGGCCGGGTGCGTGGATCACAAGGTCAGGAATTCAAGACCAGCCTGGGCAACAGAGCAAGACTGTCTCAAAAAAAGATTTGCCTAAAAATAATGCTTTTGAAACAATATTATTTTAAGAGTGCTTACCTTAATATTTGAGAACAGAGTAAATCATCAAATGACCTTTCTTCTGACAAACTTAAAACTAGACTATCAAAATGGTTCTTTGTATTTTTTGTTAGATAATGATCATTATTAATTATATACCTTTTACACTTGTACTTTAAAGAATTAATTACTCAAATATATTTATGTCTAGGACAAGGATGAGACTGAAACAGTTAAACAGACTCAAACATCTGAGGTGTATGATGGTCCCCAAAATATAAGATCTGATATTTCTGATCAAGAGGAAGATGAAGAAAGTGAAGGATGTCCAGTGTCTATTAGTAAGTTTAAAGGCTCTGTATTATTATCTGTATCCATTAGATTTTTTGTAGACCATTTACTGGAACAGGTAAGTGTCAAAGAACCCTGATATCAAATTTCACTGTGACCCTAACTAAATTATCTGGCCTTTCTGCACCATACGTTTTCTAATACATACTGTGTTCAGTACTTTATATAAAGCATCTGTGCCATGCAGGAATGCAGTGAATGGTGGCTACTGTTAAGATTGTGTGAAATTTACTCAGAGTTGTGTATTAATCAATTTAGATTTGTCTAAAGCTGAAACTCAGGCTTTAACTAATTATGGAAGTGGAGAAGATGAGAATGAGGATGAAGAAATAGAAGAATTTGAAGAAGGCCCTGTAGATGTCCAGACTTCCCTGCAGGCTAACACCGAAGCTACCGAAGAAAATGAACATGATGATCAGGTATTCCCATATTTGACTGACATACTTCTATCAGCCTTATTTTAACTACTGAAAGCAGATCTTTCTAAAAAATGTCAAAATTTTAAGCTTAAATGGATGTAAGCCTCATTATTATGCTTATTAAAATCTGAAATAGCTTATTTTTTAATAATTGCTTTTTAGAGACAGGGTTTTGCTCAGTCTTCTGGGCTGGAGTGCAGTGGTATAATTGTAGCTCACTTCTCATAGCCTCAAACTCCTGAGCTCAAGCGATTCTCCCACCTCAGCCTTCCAAAGCTCTGGGATTACAAACATGAGCCACCACACCCACCCAACAGTTTATAAGTTTTAAATGGCACACAGTTTTTAGTGGCATGATTAAATATCACACTGGCCTGCTTCTTCCTATTTGGGTTGTGAATCATTCCATTGTTCAGCATGTCTACACCATCTAGGTTGGCAGATAGACTTGCAGTATCACAGTGTTTGTGTTCAACCCTTATTTGACTTAATGGCCCCAAAGCACAAGAGAATTGTTCTGTTTTACTGTTATTGTTGTTAGTCTCTCACTGTGCTTAACTTACAAATTAAACTTTATCATAGATGAGTTTGTATGGGGACAACCAGTATAAATGGGGTTTGGTAGTATCCACAGTTTTGGAACATACATTCTGTGGATAAGGGGGTACTTTTAGATATGTTATTTTCCTCCCTTGTCTAGATTTTATCCTCAGGAGTTTGACATTTTACAGTGATGTGCCATTTGTTGGAGTCTTTTTTCATTCATTGCAATGGGTACTCAGTGATAGTTTTCAATTTGTATCATGTCCTGCTGTTTTATAAATTTTTAAATTTTCTTAATTTCTGCCACACATTTTTCTTCCTTCTGTAATTAATATTTTCAGATACTATTAGTACTCATGGATTGATCTTCTAATTTTCTCTTTTCCTTATCTATCACTTGTATTAAATTCTTTTTATTTCAGCTGTCATATTTTTAACTTCTAAACACTTTTTTTTTTCTGATTATTACTTTTTTGTAGTGCCCTGTTATTTCACAGAAGGAGTATCTCCTATTTTTAAATATCTGCTGAACCTTGGTTGTTTTTATTAAACAATGATATACCAAAAAGGAGGTTAAAGTTCTTTTGAGCTTCCCTGTAGGGCATCTGGGGAGACAGCGAGCATTTTTATAGAAACTCCTAAATGTCAGTATCTATTGGTATTTTCTTTGAAATGGCTTAGATTCTCCAAATTAGGATCCTTTGCTGTCCTGCTGTTGGCATTCCAAAACTAGATGTGGGAATGGGGCTGAGGTCCTACGTTTATACAGGCATGCACTAGATTCTTCTGTTTTCAGTACTCTATTTAGGTTGGTGCAGAAGTAATTATGGTTTTGGTCATTCCTTTCAATAGCAAAACCCACAATTACTTTTACACCAAATACTTTTACTGTGTCCTCATTTGTGCCTCTGTACCACCTCCCAGTGTTCCCAGGTCTGGGCTCACTAATTTAACTTCTCTAAAATATAATCTGCCATTTTCTGTTGAGGTTGGAGGAGAAAACCAAGGTGATTTTCCTTAAACATTTTTAACTACCACCCCCACCTTTTCATCACCAGCTCCTACCCCAACGTCATATGCCTTCCTTTCTAGATCTGTTACTTAGAATTATGAGATGAATCTCAGTTTTTGTTTCCTCTCCCTGCTGAAAGCATTTAGCTTTGTTCATCTTCCTCTTTCACTGTCACTCACTTAATGTCTGCATATATATAGGTATCTTTCAGAGTCTGAAAAAATTTGTTTTTAAAATACAGTTTTTATCCCACTTTTTTTTTTTTTTTAAAGGAAACCCTTTTACTTAGCCATCTTGAAATCACAACCAAAGCCTCCTTCTTGAAACAGTTTTAGAAGATACTTTTATATTTCTTTGTATGAAGGTCTTGGGTTGGACAAAAAACACACATATCTAACCATCTCTTTTATAGTGACCATATGTTTGAGGCCCTTCTACTAAAACATTTTTGTCTTCTAGGTTCTACAGCATGACTTTGAAAAGACAGCAGAAAGCAGAAATGTCCCATTGGAACAAGAAGCCACCAGTAAAGGTAAGAAATCTACGTCTTTGATTTTAAGATAATTTCCATTATTTACTCAAAAGCTAAAAAAAAAAAAAAAAAAAAAACCCACAAAATGTTAAATTATTAGTTTGAAAATACTTTGGACCTGATGTGTATTTTTCTTCTGCCTATAAAACATAACAGAAATTTGTTTCTGTAAACAGTTATTAAAGAAAAGGTGACAAATATTTACCACACAGACAAAAATTCTGTAAAGAGCATCTTTAGATACAAATATGGGAGATTTTAAAAAAAATATCCATTTGTAGGCTTTATTCCTGAAAGTCCTAATTCATTAGAAATCAGGTGGATTTGAGGAATCTGATTTTTAAAATGCTCCCAGATCATTTTGAACAACTAAATTTGGGAACTATTGATAAGGAAAATTTGTAGTTGCCTTTTCTTTTTGGTCTTAAATGTCTTGATGACTCTTGTTCATGCCTATTGTCTTTATTAGTGTAATAGAAAGTAAAATTTTAACATTTATTGCATTACACTAATATTGAGACTTTCTTTTGATGACAGATGACCAAGATAGCTCTCCTGTGAAACCCTGTTACCTCAATATCTTGGAAAATGAGCAACCTTTAAATAGTGCTGCCCATAAGGACTCACCTGCTACTGTTGATTCACCTCAACAACCTAACCCTTTGCCGTTACCTTTACCTGAAATTGAAACCTTAGTGCCTAGAGTCAAAGAAGTTAAATCTGGTCAGGAAACTCCTGAAAGCTCTCTGGCTGGAAGTCCTGATACTGAATCTCCAGTGTTAGTGAATGATTATGTATGTATCGTTTACATTTCCAAATATTTGTACTTTTCATTTCTGTGCATATTTCTTCATTTTCAGGTTAGCATTTTCAGCATGTGAACCAAACTCCATTTTGTGTTTAGGTTTAGAACCTGTTGGAGCATTTTTCTTAGTCACACTTAAACTTTAGCAGAAGGGTAATAGTGAATTAGGATGACAATCTCAAAACCCACAAGCTGTTATATGTTTTGTCATTTTGAGAACCAAAGAGATGAAGCGAGTTCATTTTAAGTTTGGATCTGAACTGATAATGATACATGAATCATCATTTATCTTTTATACTACTACCCATTCTTGACTTTCAACTGTTTAGAATATTTTGCAAATTTTAGTAAACCCAAAGGTTTACACTTGGGATGGGAAATAAAAGCAAAAACCTTAAAATAGTTAATCTTGCTTAAACTGCAAAACCTAAATGAAACTTCACTTGGGTCATGTTAGAACCAAAGCTTAACCCCAGCCAGTCATGAGTAGCCAGCTTACATACAAGCAAATAATTTAATTTACTTCCACATTTTCCAAATAAATCCGTTTGATATTTTCTTAGTGAAAGAAAGACTAAATTGCTTTTGGTCTGGCATTCCCAGTTCCTAAATTGCTTTTTACTCAAATAAACTCTAAAATTTTATGGTGCCTCAGATTTTTCTTTCAGTTTGGTGTCAGAGTGGGATTCGAAAGAGACCCCCTATGGCCTCTGGAAGCATCGAGGAACCAGGCGAAAGGTGCCCATTTCTCGCTGCATCTGGAGGTCCTGGGTAAGTCCCTCTTGGATTTCAGGCCCCACAGTTTGTGTCCTGAGCTCTCTGAGTTTATTTGAGTAATTTCATTTTTTATTGGATCCAGAAGTCAAACTAGGTGTCTGACAGTATCCACAGTTTTGGAACATACACTCTATCTTAAAGTACCCCCTTATCCATAATGTTATTTTCTGCCAACTGGGCCCAGTCGGCAGCCTCAGGTAGGTGAATTTTAGAAAGATAGGCTATTCCGGGTTCATTAACACCTAAGGCGTCTGGGACCCCTCTTTCTAGAACTCTAGCAAATTTTATGTTTAGAAATTACGGACCCAAAACTCTGCATTTATACAGAAATGGTTGCACTTTACCAGAGAAGAATTAAAATTACAGTGGAGACGTTTTAATCTAGGTAAATTTATTTATGGGGATATTAGAAACGAAGGGATCCCAAATGCCTCAGAAACAATAGGAAGCAGTTTTTGATTGGTATGCAGAGCTTTCTAAAAGATATAATTCCAAACTTGCCTCTCTAAAAGATTCCTTAAAAAACGCAAGTAAGACAGGTGAAAAGCTTAAGCAATGAATTGAAGACAAAAATAAATTATAAGGAGTGACTTCACTCTAACCTGTTACTCTCCTTATCCTCCTCTATCTAATTCTGAATCCACTAACCCATTTTGTTCAGTCATTTTAATCCTTTTGCTCAATTACCCTTTCACTCTGAGGATGATGACAGAAAGGAAGTTAGGCTAATGCTTTACTAAGTTAGACCCTCAGGACACCCAGGTCTGGCTCCTGTAACTACTTTTACTTCTGGATCAAAAGCTGAACTCAGAGCCATAGCAAAAGACTATCGAAATCTCAAGGAAAATTCAAAACAGTTTGCTGAGGAATTTAGAATTAGAATGACCCTGGGCTTCCTGATTTCTGTCAGTTTATGTGCATGATATTAGGAGCTGGGGGAAGCATGTTGATGGATGACCACAGCAGGATGGCATAAGCCTGAGAAGAGTATAGCCAATCCTTCAAGAGCTACTTCTGTGGACAACCCAAAAATGCTAGAAAAACAACTGGAAAACATTTAGAAGGTATCCCACGGTCTTTCCACAAATGATTGACTAGTCCATTATTCAGTCATTATAAACATAGAAGATGATGAATCTATTTCTGATTACAGGGCTAGATTGGAAATCTCATTTGTTAAACATCCTGTCTTAAAATACAGCAGGGAGTATTTCCTACAGGAACGGAAATGGTTTTATTCATCAGTAGTCTCTGACTAGAGTCTGGTGACTTGATTAAAAAAACACAAGATTGGATGACAGGTCACTGGTATGGCTACATCAGTTACCATAGCTGAACATTTGGAGAATAGAACCAGAAAAAAAATCAATGTCTATAAACAGACCACTGAAGAAAAGATTGTCCACTATTGATCAGTTCTCTAATGGACCTACCTGTACCCATTTTGGGCCAGACTGTTTCATCATCAAGAAGTTCCCAAGGGTTCAACTCTGAAGACAGTCAACACCGATGGGACAAGGGATTCTCTGGTACGTTACTCTTCATATGGCCCTTAAACAAACATGGAAAAATTAAGGTCAGCATCAGTGGGAGTCATGTATAGTGTTGGTGGATACCAGAGCCACCATCTCCACTTTCAACCCCATCCTACAGCAAATTTCTTGGAGGAAAGAAAATGTTTCAGGTTTCAAATCAAGTTCAGAGAATACAATGTGAATTAATCCAAATGACACTTGGACCAGTTTCAGAAAAGCATGCTTTCCTACAAAGTGACACTGTTTCAGTAAACACACTGGGACAAGATTTGCTGTCTAAATTGAGAGGGTACATAAAGTTCTCTTGGGAAGGAAAGTTAATTTTAGAGCTTCCTGACCCTTCTACACTTGAACTGTTCTGTTCCCTACAAGCAGGAATTGAATTGATAATATTGAAACTCACTCTTATACCAACCTTCTGAAGCACCCAGATGTTTTTGTGTTTTTTCAACTAATAAAGGGAAGATTAAAAGTGGTAAACCTATAAAAATCCAAATACATTAATCCAAGCCATTGCCTAAATTGCCCTGATGCCACCTAAAGTCAGAGGCAATCAATTATAGAAGATTTAATAAAACAAGATCTTATAATCCCTTGTATTTTTCTTTATAATGCTCCAATCCTACAGTTAAATCTAATGGACAAAGTTGGAGATTTGTTCAAGACTTACATGCAGTAAATAAAATTGTGAATCCAATATTCATTCCTGGCATAGTAATGCCTTTGGAGTGAGCTATTCCAAATCCTAACACTTTCTTATCTAATGTGTCTACAGATTCTAAATGGTTAACAGTGTGATAGATATTTGCTCTGCTTTTCTTAGTATTTCATTTGATAAGGAGAGCCAAAAGTTTTTTGTTTTTACCTGGAAAAACCAGCAATATACTTGGACTGCATTGCCACAGGGGTTCACTGAAGCCCTATCTTGTTTTTCTCAGACATTATACCAAGACCTGTCAACTTTACAATTGTATTCTCTCTGTATACTGCTTTTATACTTTTAGCTTACTAGGGACATACGGTCTCACTGGCAGAACTTCAGTTCTCTAGAGCAGTAGTCCCTAACCTTTTTGGCACCAGGGACTGGTTTCATGGAAGAAAATTATTCCTTGGGCCTACGGTAAGGGGGATGGTTTCAGGATGATTCAAACACATGTCATTAATCTTGCACCTTATTTCTTTTATTATTACATTATATAATGAAATTCTTATACAACTCATCATAATGTAGAATCAGTGGGAGCCCTGAGCTTGTTTTCCTGAAGCTAGATGGTCCCATCTGGGGATGATGGGAGGCAGTGACACATCAAATATTAGAGTCTCTTTAGGAGTATGCAACCTAGATCGCTCACATGCGCAGTTCACAATAGGGTTCAAGCTCCTAGGAGAATCTATTGCCATTTAGTAATCTGACAGGAGGCGGAGCTCAGGGGGGAATGTGAGTGATGGGAGTGGCTTTAAATAAAGGTGAGGCTTGGCTTACTGGCCCGGCCTTCTGTCCACTGCTCACCTCTTAACCGTGTTGCCTGGTTCCTAACAGGCCTTGGACCAGTACGGGGTGTTGGGGACCCCTGCTCTAGAGTAAAGGTCCATTACTTAGGACATAATCTGAGTGCACAGGGAATTTCCTCTTACCTGAAATAATAGAAACAATCCACGGGTTCCTTAGGCCCACAACTGAGGCAGTTAAGAGAGTTCATTGGTCTTACGGGATACTGTAGCTCTTGAATCCCTTATTTCTCTCCTGGCATAGTAATGCCTTTGGAGTGAGCAATGATTTTGAAATCTTGAGGAAACAGAGGGGTCTCACTTGTAGTGGAGCGCCCATCAATACTGGACCTCTGGTAGATGAACTTTCAGCTATTCTGCTGCCCTCAGAAGTAGCTGTTAATGAAAATGATGCTCATGCTCATGCTCATAGGACTGAACCTGAATATCAAGGAAATGCACATGTGGACTTTATGGCCAAGTCTGAAATTGACAAAATAATTCATTTTGAATGAACTCCACAGATTATTGACCAAGATCAAATCACTTACGATAATTTGTTCAGTAAACAATGCTGTGCACCTGAGTTGAAACAACAAAAATGGAATCTTAAAGGATGCAAATTTAATGCTCAACAAGGACTGACTGAAGGCCCAGACAAACCAGCTGGTCCTTAGGCCTTGCACTCTACAAACCATCATGGTGAAGAAAAATGATTCAAATTATTAAAAAAGTACTGGTGGGTTGATTGTTATAAAGCAGCAGAAACGGCTTACAACAGTGTGGCTTGTCAAACTCAAAGCCAGAAAGACCCTTGACATTTCTGCTGCCTGCTAGACCACTTGTATGTCTGCAGATGAATTTCATTCAGCTGTCACCCTCAATGAGTTATCAGTTATTCTTGTAGTAGTGCCCCTGTTTACAGGATAGATTGGGACTTACCGATATTGAAAAGGTGATGCCATAGAAGTAGCAAAAAATGTTTAGAAAATGTGTTTCCTTTATGGAATATTTCCGGAGACATCTCCAGTGATAAAGGAACTCATTTTCCTGAACAGATTATCAAATAAACAAGATTTTCAAACTTGGTTACACTACCATTGTTGCATGGACAAATGGTATCTTGAAACTAAAATTAGCTACATTAACAATCAACTGTATTACCTTGGCCAAAATGTTACCACTGGACCTACTGGCAGTTAGATCAACCCCTACAGAAAAGGAAGACCTATGCCTTTTAATAGTATAACCCCATGTATCACCTGTATTTGTTAGTGCTGAAATGACTCAATACTGCAAGGCCTTAATGATTACTCAAAAGTATATTTCTACCAGGTGAAGGAGGCTTTTTGTAAACTGCCTACCAGTGATGATCCATGACTGCCTTCCATGACTTAGAACCTAGAGATTGGATCTTTTGGAAACAACAGCAGAGAAAAATTGCCTTTGAGCCTCATTGGAAAAGCCAGATGCTTCCTACTACTCACACTGGTTTTGAGCTTTGGATCCATGTCGCAAGTGGAGAGAGCTTTCTTAGACTTTTGGAATTGGCAACCTATAGATGACTTAAAGATGTCTAAGGGAAAGCCTTCCCTACGAGCAGGTGGCATTGTAAAGTAAACAACTTCCCCACGACAATGGAACAAAAACATCCTCTAAGGTCGGTCTGATGTTCAAATCATAGCCACTCTGACTCACCAAAGAAATTGCTGGCCCTGTAGTCATCTAGATTAATGGAATCACAACTAATACTGTAATCTGCTCCTATACACACTTGGGTGAGCAATTCAGGAAACTGGTTTTATGAAAAGGTTTGGTATCCTTCCCTTAGCAAGTTGGTTGATACTTATGATTGACTGACTTGGCACTGGGAAGAAGTTATAGAAGCAAAGGTATGTCCTGTAACTACTGTTGATTTTATTGCTGGTAATGTATCACTATGCACAGAAAACCTTAATGGAACTGGGCCTAGACGGTGTTCCAGTCTCCTTATATGTAGTCAAACTTTGGTTTGACACAAATTTGGAGACTGGCCTCCTATATAACGATCACATATTTAAAATCAGAACTATATCATAATACCCTTGACTATTTTAGTAGAGAACTGACTGAAAGTAGACACTGGTTCAAAGGAAACTCTAGAGGCAAATGGAATACCTCTATAGTTTCACTATATACAGCAAAATAGGTTGTTTTTTATAAGATCAATTTTCAGGGCATGTTTGAAAAGGAAACCAGACATTCTTATTTGGCGATGGTACCCAAAAATAATAGATAGAAATGTATTTTATTCCTCTTCCTATTTAAATCATAACCACTCTACCTGGCAATGTGCAGATAGCAGATATGACAAAGAATAACCATGACAGTCATATCATTCCCAACTGGTGGGTAATAGGGTCTCCTTTGCCCCTTCAGTAATACTGGGTTGTTCATCTTGTATAGCAACAAAATATATAAATGTTTTCATCTGTATGGTCTGAACACTGTGGTTTGGGCTATTTCCTACCTAAAATGACCAGGTATGACTCTTTAAATGGTAGTGAAATTCTTAACCTGAGGTTGTTTGTACAAAAAGTGATCCTCACGAAAGAACTCCCTGTGATCTCCCAAACTCAAATATATAAAGAGGTTCTAGATTTTGTTCTTTCTTAAGATCCCTTTTTCTTTAGCTGGCAGTCTATGAATTGGGAAAATTGCACAGCAACCCTTGAAAAAAAGGTTTAATGATACTTTAGATAATCTTCAAGCAATACAATCCGAGTTGAGTAATTTGGCCTCAGTGGAACTCCAGTAGAAAGCTGCTCACAGGAAAGGAGCTTCTGCCCTAATTGGTGAAAAGTATTGTTTTTATGTTAACAATCAGGTACTGTTGCCCAAAATTTAAAAGGTCTTAACAAATCCAAATTTTTCATCAGATAAGCAAGGCCTCCTCCATTGAGTTACTCAGTTGGTTAAATTTTGGCTCCTGGGAATCTTTGCTTAGAGGGATCTTTCAGTTCTTGCTACAGTTTCTGTGTTTTCTTCCCTTGTGTGTTAACATCTTCCCAAGGGGTTTAAATGCTTTCCAGCATCCACTCATTCATTAGGTGATTGCCATCAGGGAAACACACTGACTACTTATTGTTGTTGGAGGCTGCATGACTGAATCCCAACATGCCTTTCAATGATAACTTTACCTGACTTTTCATCCCAGTATCTATGTCAGTAGTGGTAACAGAGTAATGCTGTGCCACCTGGCCACCCCCAAGCTGAGAGGGCAGCCAAAAGGCCGGAACTGTTAAAGCAAAAATAAAATGGAGACCAGGTCTGAAAAATACCTGAGCAGTAAAACCCCACATAAAACAAACGCCTTTAAAATAGCCTTGATCTTCCTTAAATTGCAAAACCTAAGTAAAACTTAACCTGAGTCATTTCTAGTCAGTGCTTTTGTTGGATAGAACTAAAAGGAGTTTGAGACCAGCCTGGGCAACATAGTGAGATCCTGTCTCTACGAAAAATTAAAAATTAGCCAGGTGTGATTGTGCATGCCTGCGGTCCTAGCTACTCAGGAGGCTGAGGCAGGAGGATCACTTGAGCCCAGGAGTTCTAGGCTGTGTTAAACTCTGATTGCCCCCACTGCATTCCAGTCTGGGCAACAGAGTGAAGCCATGTGTCTTACCAAAAAAAAAAAAAATCGTTTTGTTCTTACATATGTATTTATAGTTATGATTTTATAATTTCTCAGAAAGGGGACTTAAAATCTTTCAAAAAACATTAGTAGAAACAGTAACTCTTAACTGTTTTGTTTGCCTCACTACCAGTAAAAGTACACATTTAAAACTCTGAAAATTACCTATTAGGTTTATTCTTGTTATCATCTGACCATTGTGTAGAGTTGCCGTAAAAGACATTTCATTGAAATTAAGTCAAAGGTAAATTATAAAAGCTCTTGAATTTATATTTTAGTCCGGGATCCTACTGAATGTTTTTGTGTAAGGAAGTGAAATGGTCAAAGTTATGGACTGTGAAGGTTAATCTGAGGACTATAGGATATATTGTCAAGATAGGAGGCTCCTACTATTTATATAAGTAGGCAATATGAGCGGAACAAGAGGAGGAAGAGTGAGAAATACTGCAAGAAAAACCTAAGACTTCTACTTGGATAATCAGTAGGAGGAAAAAGTTGAGGAAAAACAAGTTTGAGGTGATCACAAAAGAGAGTTACTAAATTCGTATGTCATCTTTCTAATTGAGCCTCATCAGAGTTGATAAATGGAAAAATTTGTGAATGGTTACTTACATTCTGCTGGGTACAGCTCTCATGTGTTCAGTAAACATAAGAAATGAGTTGTCTTCCTAACGTTTTTAGTCTTGGTGCTATAACTACTATTTCTTCAGTGTGTATAAACTGGCCTGATTTTTTTTTTTTTTTTTTTTTTACTGACAAAATGGTAACAGAAAGGTTGACAGTATGTACACAGATGTGATGTGTAGCTTTTCCTGTGAACTTTGTATTTCTGAATTATTCATAGAGCCGAATATAGAAGAAAACCAAATATGATAGAATTACTGATAAAAGAATTCACTTTTTTTCTTCACATGGATGACTGGTTTAGATCTAGAGTATATATTTTTTTTCTTTAAATTTATCTTACAGGAAGCAGAATCTGGTAATATAAGTCAAAAGTCTGATGAAGAAGATTTTGTGAAAGTTGAAGATTTACCACTGAAACTGACAATATATTCAGAGGTATTTGGCTGTCTTTAACTTGTCTTTATATAACAAATATTGTCAACATGAAGAATGATTGGTATTTTCAATTTTCATTCCAAAGGCAGATCTCAGGAAGAAAATGGTAGAAGAACAACAAAAAAACCACTTATCTGGTGAAATATGTGAAATGCATACTGAAGAATTAGCTGGAAATTCTCAGACACTAAAAGAACCTGGTAAGAGTTACCAATTTAAATCTTACTATATTGAAAATCATTGTCTTTATACAGCTATTGTGTTTATTTTTTAAATATGCCACTATTTCCTGGGAGATTTAAGCCAAATACTGGAAAGATAGCATAATTCTATAAGCATTTTAGTTCAGCTGTTTAATTTATGAAACAATATTGTCAGATTTTTTCTATTTTTAAAATCTTTAGTTTTAACATTTATACATGCACATGGTTTGAGAAAGATACAAAAATTTATAAATAGCAAAAACCCACTTTTTATTACTGATTTTTAGTTCTTTAGGAGACTGTAACTCTAAATAATATTCTATGATTCTTAATGTTTAAGATCCAGATAATACCTCTTCTCTACCCGAAGGCAAGTGTGTATCTACACCTACCTCTCCTCCTCCTCTCAGTGTTCATATCATTTTTGGTTGTTCTACTTTTTACTTTCTATTTTGATTAAGTATATGGCATTTTCTTGTTCCATCAAGTTTGGTCATTATTCCTCTGCTGCTGCTCCTCTGCTTTCTTCTAGGTTCTCTGTTCAGTTTTGCCCATATTCTTACATTACTAAAGTTATTAAAGTAAATACTCTTATATAATTAAATGTTATACACTTTCTCTGAGGATGCTTCTTTGTAAATATCATTCATTGTAGAGCCAAGCGACAGTCAGATTTCTTTCTGTAGGAGTCTAATAGCACAGCTCTTGAGCCACTCAGTGTTTTCTTGCATCAGGGTGAATTTCTTTTTGTTATTCTCCATCAGTTCATCAGGTGATGAAAATCATATGATATTTTATTGTTTTTATTTTTCCTGGAAATGGAGTGAGGATAAGGATGGAACATTCACATAACAAACCTTCAGTTAATTTCTCAGTTTTCAGCCCATTTCTACCTGTTAGACTATGGTACCCATCTCAGCTGCAACCTCTTTTAAGTACTTGAGCTGCAGCTTTCTCCACTCTCTTTAGGTATGCTTCCATCTGCTTTAAGCATTCTGGTCATTTATTAATAGTCTCTATTCTGTTCTCTCACAACCAGTCTTGTTCTGTTGATCTAGATTTATTCTATTCTATAGTTTTCTTTTCTTTTCTTTTTCCTAGTGGGGTGTTTTTAGAGAGATAGGAAGTATCTGCTCAGTCTGCCATATTGAATCAGAAACCTCACCTATTCTTTTTCACTGTGTGCTCTTAGGGGATTGTATTAGCTAAGTCAGGATTTTCTTCATAATAACCTTATACTAAAAGTAAAAGCTTTAATGGCAGAGAAAACAATGTTAAATTCTAGTAATTCAATAAGTAATTTATAAAGCATTAATTATTATTCTGTTTTTCAGAAACAGTGGGAGCCCAGAGTATATGAGATGTCTTCAGAGGCTCATCTCTCTCTTTACATAGTCAGTGCATATATGAAAACAATACTAAATAAACATGTTTTGATCTGTATAAAAATGTAAATTAGTTTGACACTGCATTTTTGATAGGTGTGGTAATTTGTGCCCATGGTTATTAAAAACATCAGAAACTCAATTCTGGACAAATTTAAGCCTTGATATACTGTGGGGTTTCATTGAGGGGGAGGGGGGTCTTTCTTCCCCATTGTGATATTTGGTAACAAATTTAAAATGTAGTTTTAAATAAAGTTTGGACTTATCTATAAAGTATCTTTTTTGGAAATTATGTTGAATTCTATACAGCAAGTCAATGTTTTATATAACTTTAGGCTGCTCAGAGAAGAGCAATGGTTACGAGTTAGAGAAATATATTATTTATTATAAAGCCCATTCATTAGGCCAGTCATCCAAACAGTGCCAGTGTTGCTGCTGTTGGGTCTGATGTTCTTTTAGATAACTGCAAGTCCTATTCCTGTGCAAGAATAGGGCAGATTATAAAGGTATCCAGGATACTTATGAAGTTATTATAGAATATATATTAATCCACTGAAATTAGATAACAAGTTTAGAACATAGGTTCTCAGTATCTAAAACTTATTACATCATTATCTGTTAGATAAATATTTTCCGGAATTTCAAATCCTATCTACGTCACCTCTGTCTGAAAGTAAAAAAAATAAGCTTTATATAATTAGAGAGATTTCTGCACAGAGAAGTAACATTGTGATTTTTAAATGAAAAACTTAACTTTTTAAAGTGGTGATAAATAGAACAAAATTTATATAATAGTAAGAATCTATATGCCTTCAGATAAACTTGCCTTTTGAGATGGTAATTTAAGACCAAAGCATAGTAGTTGCTTTTTTGTGTAGTGAGGGAGAAGCAGATTTCCACATAAAGTACTGAACATTTATGTGACTTTAAGTATCGGCTTTGGAAAAATGATTTACTTTTTATCCCAAATTGTCCATATACACAGTAAGGCTTCAAAAAACCAGTTAACAGTGAGTAAGTCAACCTTACAGATTCTTCCTTAAATGTGATGAATTCGTTCCAATAAGTATGTTAACTTTGTTAACAACTGAAATACCCCATAAAAAAAGAACTTGTTGAGTATTCCTTTAAAACTGTTACTTGCTGTATACCTCAGTATAATGTCCAATCAAGGAGTATTAAATGAGGATTTCCCTACAAGGATATTTACTGTATTGCTACTTATATTATGGAAGACAATATATCAACTTTAATAAAACCTATTCGGAAAATTACCAATTCAGAATTAGGAATTCTTACCAAGTGGTCTAACTTCGGGGAAATTGGAATAGTAAGTTATGTTACATGCACACTAAAATTCTGTATTTTCTAGACTTGAAGCAAAAAGGGTAAAAACTTTGTTTTGGTACTCAAGCCAAGCCTTACATATTGCGGCTCTCTCTCTCTCTCTCTCTCTCTGCATGCATATTAAAGGTAAACTAGAAATTGTATTTATATCTTAGTTATTACTATAGTACTTAAAAACCTTATCAGATTGCTTATTTGACTTGTGTTATAGCTGCTATAATCTAAGTCTACTGTTTTTTCTATTTTAGTAGATAATTTAGTTTTAAAATACCTAGGGTTTGAAAGCAGATGGATTTATTTAATCTGTTTTCTCTAGTAACTATTGCTGAAGGATTAGGCATTAAATATTCCTATTTGTTCTAATTTTGAAATTAAAAACTTTGGTTAGAGATAGAGGGAGAAAAGGTCAAAATGAGTGAGAGAAACGTTACGCAGATTGAGATAATGCCTAAACGAATGATCTGGCCAGACTGTGGAGGTACTCTTTGTATTTTGTAACATTCACTTTGGGTAAATGCTTTTTCACTGTTAATAAATATATATCCTGTATACAACCCAGAATTGTATTTTCTTTTAAATTCACATACTCATTTACGTTTTAGAATTTATTCCACAGTTGTGGCTTAACACTTTTAAATGTAAAACAAAATAAGAAAAAGAACATGAAAAATGATGTATCAGCCGGAAAGCTGATTGAACTTGAGATTTTTTGTTTTTACAATGAACGGTTGCTCTGTTCTTAATTATCGATATTTTATATACTGTTCTAAGAATGCATATGTTGAATAATGGTATGATAGAAGTCACTGGCCAAAGGAAGAATCAACTTAAAATAAATATGTTTATTATACTTAACAGACCTCAGAGAGTGGGTTACCACCAGTGCGGTGTGGCTCACTCCTATAATCCCAACAGTTTGGGAGGCCGAGGCAGGTGGATCACCTGAGGTCAGGAGTTAAAGATCAGCCTGGCCAACACGGCAAAACCCCGTCTCTAATAAAAAATACAAAAATGAGCTGGGTGTGGTAGAACACACCTGTAATCCCAGCTCCTCAGGAGGCTGAGGCAGGAGAAACACTTGAACCCAGGAGGCAAAGGTTGCAGTGAGTCAGGATTGCACCACTGCACTCCAGCCTGAGTGATAGAGTGAGACTGTCTCAAAGAAAAAAAAAGAGTGAAGAAAGACCACATGTTACATACAGTCATGGGGAAAGCACCAAATTGTAGTCAGGTGGCATATGACAGAGCCAAGGGGCAAGATTAGTTAGATCCTTCATTGAGGTTTCTACAGGAAAGGCCAAGTGGGGTAAATGGTTTAAGATAGGCTAGTTTGAATAATATTGGTGGGCATTTGGCTATATGGATGGTATGTGAGTTTCTGGTACCTGGTCCTAGGATGATTTACGGCAGAGAAACAGTGGCTTGGTGTGCAAGAATTAGAAAAGGAGGGTGGTTGGGGCTATACACTTGGGATTGGTTGGTATACATATGAAAGAGCTAGCCCTGAATAGGGTGGTACCTCTGATTAGCAAGCATTTTAAGATGTCAGAGCATCATAAAACAGCAAATAAAAAGCATGAGTAACATGTATGCTAGAGAGAGAATATTCTTAGATTTACTCAAAAATAGACTGATTTATTTCTTGTCCAACTTACTTTAATCAGCTCGTCTTTCAAAAGGAGATTGACTCTAGATTTCACTTATTTTACTATACAAATAAATGTTCCAGGCGCCCTTGACTGGAAGAGCTAGCATTTCTTGTTGTTCTTGTGTAACTCTAATTGTTACTCTTACAATCTCTGTCTTTACATGTCTGCTTTCCTCCTCAGATTCACTGGTATCATTGGCTGGCTCATTTTCTGAAAATTAAGAGAAGGGAGCTCTGTGCCTACAAATGACTTTGATGCACACATGCACGCACCCACGTGTACACACACAGATTCAGTATCCATAGTTGGAAATGCTCCAAAATCCAAAACTTTTAAGTGCTAAATGACCCTCAAAGGAAATATTCATTGAGGCGTTTGGGATTTTGGATTTTCACATTTGGGTTGCTCAACCAGTAAATATAAATATTCAAAAAATCCAAAAGAGTTCTATTTCCAAGTATTTCAGATGAGCAACATTCAACCTGTGTGTGCGTGTGTGTGTGTGCACACCCTCGTGCATGTGTGTGCTTCTAATTATTTTATCAGTTCATTTCCTGTTTTCAGACTTAGAAATATCCATAACAAAATAAATGTTGGGCCAGCAATTTAGAGCTCTTGATTTGCTTGTTTCAAAAACTAATCACAGTATGAAATTTCTATGCAATTGAGTTCTGTTATATCTCTTTTACATACTAAATGTAGTTTTTGCCTTAAGACTTTCCTGAAGTGTACTTAGTTGTCTATCCCCCATATGTAGGTGTAACAAATCACATGTGACTAATTTCCCCAGCCCCAGACAGAGTCTCGCTGTGTTGCCGAGGCTGGAGTGCAATGGTGTGATCTCAGCTCACTACAACTTCCACCTCCTGAGTTCAAGCAGTTCTTCCTGCCTCAGCCTCCTGAGTAGCTGGGATTACAGGCGCTTGCCACCACACCTGGCTAATTTTTGCTTTCTTTTTTTGAGACGGAGTTTTGCTCTTGTTACCCAGACTGGAGTGCAATGGTGCGATCTCAGCTCACCGCAACCTGCGCCTCCTGGGTCCAGGCAATTCTCCTGCCTCAGCCTTCTGAGTAGCTGGGATTACAGGTACACGCCACCATGCCCAGCTAATTTTTTGTGTTTTTAGTAGAGACGGGGTTTCACCATGTTGACCAAGATGGTCTCGATCTCTTGACCTCGTGATCCACCCGCCTCGGCCTCCCAAAGTGCTGGGATTACAGGCTTGAGCCACCGCGCCCGGCCAAATTTTTGCATTTTTTTAGTAGAGACAGGGGTTCGCCATGTTGGCAAAGCTGGTCTTGAACTCTGGAGATCAAGTGATCCACCTGACTCAGCCGCCCAGAGTACTGGGATTACAGGCATGAGCCACTGCACCCGGCCCACATGTGATTAATTTTAAAACAAATCATATAGTTGGAAATATTGTTTTGCTAGGAATCCTCACCTTTAATAAACTGCATCTCCAGGGTATAGCTTCCTGCCTATGTTTTTTCTACAGATCAGATCACAAAAAAAAGCTTTGAAAGATACAAAGAGCTATGTTATCTCACACTAGTAGTTTTCAAAATTTATGTTAAGCATCACTTTTAGTGAGGCTGTGGATACAAATTTAGAGTTACCCATCTCCATTGGTGTTTACAAAAATTTCACCTACTGGTGTGACTATCAGCTATTGTCTCACAGTTATATTCAGAATTTCCCTAGGCTTAGATTAGGTATGGGTTATTCTATCTAATGAAATAATGCTCATAAAAATGTTACAGTGCTATACAAATTGTCTATGTTAGAGAAAGATAAGCCGAGGGCAAGAAGATAAACATAAATTGTGGGGAGATGCAATTTTAGGTTGGATACATAGAGATGTCACTAAACATGCCATAAAAATATCTGAGGAGAGAACATTCTAGGTAGAAGTAACAGTAAATGTAAAGGGCCCTGCACGCGATGATGAACATCATCTGCATGTTGAACAGCAGAGGTCAGTGTGACTGAAGCTGAGGGAAAATGAGAAAGAGGGAGAGAATAGTCCTGTAGGGCCTTCTGAAGGCATTTTGCTTTTATTTACAACAAAATAGGAAGCTACTAGTATCATCTGAATAGTATCACTCTGGTTGCTGTGCTAAGACTAGATTATAGAAAGTCAAGGAAGTGAGGGGTCTGGCCATTAGGAGGCAGGAATCAAAGCCAGAGAAAGAATGGCTTGAATAAAGACTGCAGGTAGTGGAAGAAGTAGTGAAACTAGCTAAGTTCTTAAAATTTAAAGGTAGAGCTGACCATTTCTACTGAGCTGAGCCACAGACTGTCAAAGGATTTGTCCTAAGAAAGTAGGAGGATGGAATTGCCACTTACTAAGATGAGAAGGCTAGAACAATCAGATGTCGGGCAACCAACAGCTCAGTTTTAAACACACTTCACATATCCAGTGTCTATGTAAACCTTAACATAAACCTTAACATACTTCCATAAGAAATTTTTGTATCTTACCATATAGAAATACTCTAATGCCAAGAGTGGAAGACTAATTTAAAATATCATTTAGTTTACATTCAAGGTTGGAGAATGGACTACAGTAACTGACTTTAATTTTTCAAAGCCTATGAGTGGGAAGAAAAGCAGTTTATAGTAGTACCCTTCTTCTGTATTGTTGATTAAGTAACATGCCCCTGTTGATTTACATGTCTGTTTTTTAGTATTGCACTGTCTTGACAACAGTAGCTTTATAGTAAGTCCTGAGTCCTTGGCTTGATGATTTGGGATATAGAAAAAAAAAAGCCTCCTCTGAGCTGTTCTAAGTTTCTCTTCATCTTGCTCACCAAAAAGAAAGAAACATAAGTCCTGTAACTTTGTTCTTTCACAGACTTTTTGGCTATGTTTTGCATTTTCAATTTCAGTTTTCACAAACAAAAAACCTGCTGGGAATTTTGGAATTGCATTGAACTTACAGATTTGGAGGAAATGGACATGTAAACAATATTTTTTCCAATTCGTGTACATTATATAGTTTTCCCTTCATCTAGATCTTCTTTTGATTCAATACAGAAATTTAGTTGAACATTTTTTTTTTTTTAACACATTAACAATGTCGCAGTTTTCTGGCTTATATAGTTCTTTGGAAAGAAGTCTGCTGTCATTTTTCTTTTCTATGTAATACGTATTTTTCAGCAATTTGAGTGTGATATGCCTGTGTATGCGTGGATGGATGAATTATGCTTGGGATTCCTTGAGCCTATGTGAGTTTGTAGTTTCCATCAAATTTGCCTCACATGCTTGAGTTATTCTCTATCACATTTTCTTTCTTTTTTTTCTTCCTATACTTGTCACCATCTGAAACTATCATTAGTATATTCACATCTGTCTCTCCTTGTTAGGAGTCAAACTAGTTCAACACTGTATCCCCAGCAACTGAACAGGGCCCGGCACAAAGTTGGTGCTCAGTATTTGTTAGCTTTGTGTATTGCTGCCTACAACATTTACTACTAGGATAGTAACTCAGTCGTCCTAATATTTTCTGTACATTAGCTATCCACAGTATTCTAGCATTGCAGATTTGACTGTATGTACAAACGGAAAGGATTAGATAGATTTTTACAAATACGCTGTTCTAGAAAGGGGGTAATTATTACTGAATCACCATCGTTATTACTACCTGATGGTTAAATGAATGGCTAGCTTAAGGGAAACCAAAACAACTTGGTGTCAGTTCTTCAAAGCAAATGGATTCTACTCTGTCTACCTCTCCAAGTAGAAAGCCACATATCCCAAGGGCTCACAAACTGTTGTTACTGAGGATCCTACATGTGGAAGGAGTATAGGGCAGGGCCAACCTTATCAACACTTTGGCCTCAAAGGTAAATGGAACCTTCCCCTCAGTATTTCCCTATAACTGCAGATTTTGTTTAAGTAG